TCAAAAGTTCTTTCAACCCCAAAAAAGCAATAATGATTGTCAGAGGGAAAGAGAGTTATAAATTTAAATAATTTATAGCACTAACACATCCAAGGAATTCTATTCAAAGATATATACAGATTAAACACAGCACCTCTCTAAATTACAATGGTGCTTTCCACAGTAAACAACTTATCAAATCAATATGGAAGCACAAAAGACCAAACCAATTTTGAGAATTAAACTATTGAGTTATCACAGTACTTGACTATAAGACAAAAGGTACAGAAATTTGTTTAAAGCAGTGACAATGGAGGAAAGAATAATACAAAATATCTTTGGGGGATGTAAAGGGGCCAGCACAGTCAAATACTAGTAAAAGGCCACAATAATCAACATTTTATAAAGCCCAGATATACCCTCAAGCATATACAGTCAATTGATTTTACAGGACACCAAGAATACACAACGAAATAAAACCAAGTACGTCTCTTCAGTAAATGATGTGACAAAATTGAGTGTTCACAGAGAGTGAAATTCGATCTTTATTGCAAACCACATAGGAAAATCAACTAAAATTACTATAAATATTGAAGCATAAGACTTGGAACCGTAAAACTCCTAGAAAAACTGGGAAGCACTCCTTGAAACTGTCCTGGGCAATAAGAATTTTGAAAACACTGAAGCAATAACTCCATAAACATACAGGTTTATATGTAAACAAAAAGCTTCTATACAACAAAGAAGCCAATCTATAATTGAAACAACGTGGCAGAAAATATTTATAAGTTATAGACCATGTAAGCACACACAGAGACACACATATTCATACCTGTGCAGACACAGCACACACACCACCACCACCAAAATTATAGTCTAGTTCAATTTTAAACTAGAAACTTCCAGAGTTTCAGATACCCATTTCATACCCCTTTGCAGTTGTGTTCCCTAGAAATTTCAATTCAAGACAAAGAGTTTGTTAGCCCTCAGTATATTCATTACTTAGTAGATAACTTAGTCATAGAAAATGCAGCACCATTCCATTCAATACTTCCTCTTTATTTTTCTAGCATATGTATTAGGGTGGGGGGGAGAATGTGAGCAAGCTGGCAGCAGTGGCTTTAGTAAACACCTGAAGGGGCTTGGAGTTCCTCCTACGATGACACCCAATAGGCTTTCTACAACAAGAATCTTACTGTGGCACAGAAAAAAATCACCAGGAAAAACTTACCTTTAACACAAAAGGTACAGAAATTTAAAAAAAACAGCGCCAAAGGAGAAAAGAATAAAGCAAAATAACTTAGGGGAAGGTAAGGTGGAGCACAGAAATGGTGGAACAAAGGGTGAAGAAATGCGGCTTGATACTCATTAGACTCTGTGTTGAAAATGAACTATACAACTTGTGGGCAAAGGGAGTTGGGAGAGGAAAAAAATGGGAGAAAGGGAGAGACCAAGTGACCCTGTTCAAAAAGAAATGGACTCATTACTTGACTTATGTAATTGTAATCTCTCTGCACATCACATTCCCAATATAAACAAACCAACAAATTAAATCACCAGGAAGAGAAGAAAGGAAAATGCTTCTTATCTACTCAGACAAGAGATGTCTGTCCACCCACAAGGTCACCACTGGGAATCTTCTCCAAGGTGCCTGAGTCAGTGGAGTTCCACGGGAGCCCACAGGTTTTCTGGTCATTTTGGAAGGGAGTGTCTATCGCAGTTTCACCAAGCAGAGCATTGTCTTTGCCTTCAGTACTAGTCGTTCCAGTGCAGCCCACAGCTGAACCCAGGCCACATTTGACATATGAAAGAGACTTGTAGTATGGATTTGGAGAATGCACCGGGAAATTCCCAGGCCCCTTGGATCTAAGCAAAAGCTTAGATCCAATGCAATGAACTTAACCAGAAATGGAGGTCAGAAAAGAAGTTGTTTACCGTACTTACACAAAGTATATGTCATAGGGTGTGAGTTTGAGCCGGGCAAGGAGCATCCTTTTTGAATCCAAAACAGTATTCTTGGAAGGAGAATCTTTCCCTCTGCTTTCCTATGCATTTGCTGACCATACTTCAGTCTTCAGTGTATTTTGAATTGACTCAACGTGGTTATTTATATATATATATATATGTATACATATGCATACACACACGTATATATATATATATATATATATATATGTATGTATGTATGTAACAAGTTCCTTAGATCTTTGGAAACAATAACAGCAACAAATTGTGAACCATATCCCCTGTGCTCCAGTGAACTAGTGTCTCTCACTGACCATCTCAATTTTTTCCAGTAGAGATACATGGTATTTCCTGATACTCTATATCACTATTTTGTACTTTGATAATTGTTTCTTGGGTATCCCCTGGCACAAACTTCATGAGTACTAGTAACTAAATTAAGGAGACATTTCAAATCTATTTGAAAAAAAAAACAAGGTAGAAAATACTTGGATGTTCCTGTTTGATTCAAAAGCTTTTGGAAAAAATAACACTGATTTCTGGCAAGAAAGTTATCTTCAGCACTTTCCCTCCATGCAAACAAGAAGCCAAAGTCCCATTAGAATTAGAAGCTAAAAACCTGGGAATAATCTGTATTTTCAACTTGCTGAAAACTCTGAACTAGTCATAGACTGCCTAGCACCAGACATTTTAAAATGAAGATGTAACTCTTCAATAAGCCTTGATTATTTTTAACATCTTGATAAAGTAAAAAAAAAAATAGAAATTCTTAGTTTATGTACTTTGGGTTGGGGTGCTGGGCCTGGGCTCTGTCCCTGAGCTCTTTATGCTCAATGCTAGCTCTTTATCACTTTGAGCCTGGCAGTACTTCCAGTCTTTGATTGGCTAATTAGAGAGAAGACTCTCATGGCAACTTTTCTGTTTTTGATTGGCTTCAAAGCACCATATTCAGATCTCAGCCTTCTGAGTAGCGAGGATTACAAATGTGAGCGTCCAGCATCCAGCTGCATTTGTATATACAGTGCATTATGTAAGTTTTCTGTTTCTCCCTCTCTATCTCTTATTCCCTGTTTCTCTCTCCACACCCCCCAGAAAAGCATAGGAAATGTTTAAAAATAACTGACAACTTTGTTTACAAATTTGTTTACTTTTCCCATAGTGATGTATGAACAATCCCAACTTTCCAATGTTACAGTTTGCTTTCTTATTTTAGACTTTATTTTTATATAATGCGGTATAAGTTCTATAAATGTGTGTCTATATACATGTAAATGCATAAAACATTTTGAGATCTCTATTATATCAGAAAATGATAGGAAACTTTTATAGTACACTTATGTACCATTTAATTGGATATGCCTAAAGTTAAGGTTAATTATACTTAATTTAATTAATTTATTGGTTGATTGTTGTATCAAGTTTGAACTGAGGGTTGTAAGCTCTTTATCAGTGACTTTTTCTCAGAGCTGGAACTTTACCACTTGAGTCAGGTTCCAGTCCATCATTTTTGCTGGTTAGTTGGAAATAGTCTGAAAGACTTTTTTCCCTAGGGTTAGTTTCAATCTGCAATCTTAAAATCTTCCCAATGTAAAGTGATAGATATATAGGCATGAGACACCATTGACCAGATCTGCTTTTAATTTTTGTAATTGCAAGATAAACAAAAATCAAGGAACATAAACAGTGCTGGATAGAAAGGTCAGCTAATTTTGCTTACTCTCTTATTTTCACACATATTGCCTACCCACACAATTTCTTACAAAGACATTTAGATTTCCAGAGACTAGTGCTGGTCCTATGGCTGTTGCTTCCTCTGGAAAGTTTCCAAAGTCAGAAGCTCAGGAGATGACTTTGTAACAAATAGAGTTCTGGCTTCCATTCCATCAAGTGCTTTCTACACCACCTAACCTCAGAAAATGCAGAGTAAGACCACTTCCTCTTTGCTCACAGAAACCCTTTTTCTGCTTCAAGAAATCTTTGTTAAGTAAGATCTAGAGCCAGCACAAAGCTTTAATAAAACAGCTGAAAAGATTTTGTGCACCTTCTAGATGAAACTGAGCTGCAGTGGACTGTGGTCTGCCCAGAGCATGGATTCCTTCTGTGGATGCCTGAGGCAGTGGGAGTTTCCTGAACTTCCCCTTTCTCTGGTCTTCTTGGAAAATCATAGAAATGTCCACCTTGGTTTCAGCAATCAAAACACACTCCTGCCTTCGGGAGTGGTGGTCCTTATGTGCCATGAATCCAGCCCACATTTGCATCCATGAGAGGATGAATACTCAGGATTTTGACTGGAGCAAAGACTTGGAGTTGTTCCTGTGCAGGCCATGTCATGAGTGACTTGAAGTGGAAGCTGTGTTCTCCAAAGGTGCAGTCTCTTGGCCTGTGAAATTTACAGCAGAGCTATAAGTGCCAGAGATGCCCCAACTATACATTGGAACACCATCTGGAGCATTGTTTTCAAAGCGAGGATAGCATCTTTGTAAAAGAATACTTTCTCCCTGTGTGTATTCCTAGGTTTTTCCTGACCATTATGGTCTTGGATATGTTTCTAATTGGCATACAGTGTTTCTCAGGATCAATTTCTTTAATGCTTTTGAAACCAAACATCTGATTTTCTATACAGATCTAAGTGAGACGTCTTGATTCTTCATTTTTCTTTTGTTCCTTAGAAAGCTACTGGTACATACTTACAAGGTACTAAATAACTTCCTGAAGATTGTGAGCACTAAAGTTTATTTGGTCTAACATTAATACAAGTGATTAGTTCATCAAAAGTTGGGGTTTGAGGGAAAATACACTCTGTATTTGAAGGACCAGAAGTATTTTCTTCCCAGGCAAGAAACTACAGGATGGGAATAGGAAGAAAATAAGAATCTGTCTGGCCAAGATTCTAGAATCTCTGAATCAAACTTAGATTTTTAAGAACTAGACTTCTTAAAAATAAAATAAATCTATGAAAATATAGTCTTATTGTCATGATATCATAGAATGGTAGCATAAAGAAATTTACACATCTGGCTCATTGAGGAATCAATGTAATGTAATTTTTGTACTTCTCAGTGAACAGTCCAGTATTTAGCAGCCTGTGCGTCCCTGATGATCAAGATGAAGGGACTGAGACCAGCATACCCAAGGACTAGAAATACCTTGGTATTTAGTACTGTGCAGTCATGTGTCATGATAGAACCTATATATATTGTGGAAATGAAATCTGCCAAATAAAAAAAAAGAAAATAGGTCAAGAGAATGAGAGTCCTTAGAGTGGCTCTGATTTCTGGGCTGGAATTGTGTGTGAACCTGGAGTTATGAAGGTAGAGGACTCGCTTGTGATGGTTATACAGATGGAAAGCCATGTACCCACTGTTCCAGCCCATGAGACTCTGAAAGATCACATCCTGAAGAGTCATGAGGGAGAGGAAAAGCCACCTAACCACATGCTTAGATTGATGCATATGACAATACCTAACATGTATTTCAATTCTGGAGCTGTTCATGCTATTGAGTGATGTCATGTAGAGGAACAAATAGGAGCTTATCAGAGAGTTCCAGACCCAAAAGATGAGAAGATAGGGGAGAACTTGCCATGCAGCCTGTGGTTTGAGCTTTCTCCACTGAGTGGTTCTTGGACTGATAGTAATGGCCTGGACCATGGTGAGGAGACAGGTGGTGCAGACGGAAAGGCCTCGAGCTAGTTTTTCCATATAAATCACAGTTTTGTAACCAACATCACCTAGGAAGTTTATGGAACAAAGATCTGTGGCTAATATTCCTCTGGCCCCTATGCTACAAATAATGATTATATTTGAAAAAACCAGGTGAATGTGAATAATGCATATGGGTTTCTTTTTTTCAGGACCCATAATGACAATATATACATGTTTCACAAGTACAAAGATGTTTCCTAAAATTCCAGGTCCAGTAAGCATATAGAAGATTATCCTTTGAATGAGGTTACTCCAAATCATCTGATTTCATATACAGGATCGGGAAAAGCCTTTTGAGAAGCACAATCAAGTAAAGATGACATAGTTCAGGTCTATTGATTATCCTTGTTTACAAAGTAAAGTAATGGTTTATGAAGTATTTAAATGTACAAAGTAATTTCCTGGAAGAGGCCTAAGCTCCTTTCTTTCCTCACTTCCTCCCTCCTTTATTTCCTCTTTTCCTTCCTTTGTTTTCTTTCTTTTTTCTTTCCCTCCCAACTTTCCTCCTTTTCTTCCCTCCCTTTGTCTCTTCCTTCCTTCCTTCATCCCTTGCTTCCTCCCTTGCTTCCTCTCTTTCTCTTTCACTCTGTCTGTCTCTCTGTCTATTTGCTAGTCCTGAGGGTTGAACTCTGTCTTTGAACTCTTTAGCTAAAGGCTACCACTCTACCACTTGAAATACAGATCCACTTCCACCTTTTTTGTTTCTGGTGGTTTATTGGAAATAAGTGTCCCATGGACTTTCCTGCCTTCACTGGTCTGAACTGTGATCCTCAGATCTTAATCTCCTGAGTAGCTAGAATTACAGGCATGAGGTACCAGTGACCAGCACTTTCTTCCTTTCTTGATTCCTGGGACCTGGGCATCTTGGTGACTACAATTTAGACACAGATTACATGCATCCACCTGTTTTTTTCCTTCTTTCTATTCCTCATGTCCAAATTTTCAATGATCATGTTCTTTTTCCACGAGAGGTAGGCAAAAGCAATAAATATATGCAGTCAATTTCCAATCTGTATACCTTTCACTTCTCATAACCAATACATACAATCACTATGGTGGATTTTTTCTTTTCTTGTCTTTTTTATCATGTGTGTTGCTTGAACTCAGGTCCTGGGTGTGTCACTGAGGCTGTTTGTGTTCAAACTTGGCACTCTACCAATTGAGTAACAACATTACGTCAGGCTTTAGAGTGGTTAATTGGAGATATGTGTCTCATGGGGACTTTTTTTTTTGCCTGGGCTGGCTTTGTACTACCATCCTCAGATCTCAACCTCGACAGTAGCTAGAATTACAGGCATGAGCCACCAGCACCTGTCATTGGTAGTTTTGATTGTACTTTTCCTTCCCTGGGATCATCTGTATGATCTTGTATGCATTCATCCTTCAAGTAAGCAAAGAATCCACACCCTGTAAACCAAACTACTCTAAAATCTCCTGCTGTGATTTGTAAAACCACTTTATAAAGTGGTGTCTTTTTCTTTTCTGCGTATTCTGTATTATATTCAAAATGAAGATCAGAACATAAATTTATGTTGCTTTTATTCTTACCAATCATAAAAAGCTTACCATGCAACCTGAATTTAGTCCTCCACAATTTCTTGTTTATTAAATTTATTTGTGCAATACTTTCAACATTATTCCCCATCACCTCCCCTGGAAGATATCATATAGACACTTTGCCAAAAAGAATAGGCATAATGTCTCTATGGTAAACTTTTTCCCAACCAGTAACCTTCCTAGCACAATGCTGGCTATGGGTCAGAAATCAGCTTGGAATTTTGTCCCTTAGTATTATTACCTGACCCCACCGGGCTGTGTTCCCTGGCTGGCTGGATGTCTGCCAGCTGCCATCATCCTCCCCTGCATAATGAAAACTACTTGGAGATGTCACTTTTGAGTCTATTTACATATGTTTCCTGACATAATCTCCTGCTATTAAGTGCTTGAAAAACAGCTTACAAATAAATTATGAATTCAGGCATATGACTCAAAACTTGACAATAAACTCAGCTCAGCAACGTATCAGCTAAACAGATTGTGAAGGCATTTGGGTTCCTATAGGTTTCATTTTAGATGTTAAAACTCAGTGGCCTGGAGAAGTCAATGCACTTTGATTTCAGTTTCAGTGACTTCTCACATGTAGAGATGAGGTGAACACACAGGTTTCTACAGATACAGGAAATGACGGGGACTATCCTTAAAGACACTCATAAATCAGAGTTAATTTTTACTTGCCATACCTCCGGTATTGCTCTGGCTAAGATTTTACTTTAGAAAAATATACATGTTGGTTCTCTGAAATATTCATAATAAACCTTAGAATAAAGAAACCTTAGAATAAAGAAAGAGTATCTTTGTTGTCTTGATGAATGTTACAAGTGGGCTGGAAAAGCCATACACCTATATCTACTCTAAAACCTTTTTAGGAGAGACATTGATGTGTATATTAATATTTTATAAGCTTCTTATCTCTTTCTAACTCAATGCCTTCTTGTAGAGAGAAAAACAGAGGTTAGAGGTAGAGAGGAATTAATCGGTCTTCCTCTACCACAGTTCTGTCTGATACCTTCCTATTCTACAAATGGTCAAATGTCTCAGACCCTTCTCTCTCACAACCTGCCCCTGACCTGTGTCTCCACAGCTTCCTTTTTAAAGTCAAAGGTAGCCCCAACCTTCAGTACTCGATCACTTACCTACATAGATGTTGCAGCTGACTCAACTTGGAAATTGTGATTAGGTGGTAAGGGTCAGGTTGTATTTATCCTTCCTTAGACTCAGTGCTCATAACCAATTCCATTGCTGTCAAGATGTCACTGTCATGAGTTTTATCTTCCCCAGGGGAAAAGTGCTCCTTCTGCACCTCTCCATCCCTGAGGCACAATTCTGCTGTCTTCTTACTACTCTGTAATTTGCTGAGGCCAGAAACTTGCTGAGTGAATTATAGTGAATGTGCATTAATAAGGAGTCATGGTAATGATGAAGAGTTCCCTAAATGGTCCAAGTTTCTTCAACTTGGTTTTACTCTCATCCCATATCCTCCATTCATCATCAAAGCCAGGAAGTAATGTTAAAGAAACTTCTGAGAATCCACAGAGGTCATTTTCTGAATATTTTCTGAGTACACCTTCATTGATAGAAAAGATCATCAAACTGTGTGCAACAGAAAAAAGCAAAGAAAAGATCATCAAATGGTACAGTCTAGATCTATTCTTGCACATATTGTCCAGGACATGGCAGTTGGGGACTTATGGAGAGCTGCGATGGTGTGTGTCCTGATTTCACTTCTGGCTGTTTTCTTGGGCCCTTTCATGTGTTTTACTGAGGTATTCACTTCTATTTTATGCTCCTTGTTATAAGTATTTTTCCTTGAAATGTTCACTGCCAAACCAGGATTGTCTTTTTTTTTGTTGGTTGTTCTTGGGTCTTGAACTCAGGACTTGGATGCTGTCCCTGGGCTCTTTTGTTCAAGGCTAGCACTCTACCACTTTGAGGCACGGCTCTAAGTAAGGTTTTCTGGTGGTTATTTGGAGATAGAAGTGTCACACTTTCCTTCCAGAGCAGTCTTTGAACTGTGATCCTCAGCCCTCAGCATCATGAGTAGCTAGGATTACATGTGTAAGCCACCAGCCCCAGCATGATTGTTTTTTAGATGCTCAACTTCTGTGGTCATTGCCCAGGAGAACTGACCGGATGTGTGTAGGCTTCCCTATGAGATTCACACCTCAGCTCTGTATCCCTCATACCATTTTCAGAAATGGTCCCTTTCTCATTGGACACCACAAAAGATCTAAGGAGAGGGAGGCAGGTAATTCTATATTCACCACAGGCAGATATGCAGATTTACCTTAAATAAAACTTTTCTGAGCTCCCCCCATTGCCTAATATTTCCTGAAGTAAAGGAGTGCAGTGAAGTGAGGGGAATAAGAGACCTAACATCCAGGTGACACTTTCTTTTTTAACCCACAACCCACGGTTGTATTTAGGGAGAGCAGAGAAGAGAGGAGAGTTCCTGCACTTGCCAGAGGAACTGATAGCAGAATCTGTTGGTTGTCCAAACTACCTGCCTTTCTGTGACACCTATTCCATGTGAATAGATTACCTATGCATCCTAGAATATCTCTGGTCACCATAGAGATGGTGGGTGTGGCTAGGCAATGGATCACAATCAGAATACTTTCAATCACAGAGATCTCGGGGGTGATTAGTTGATTTTGTTCTGTGGTATCTGTATGTACACTGTAGGAGGAAAGAGCTTAATTGATCTACACAATGAGAAAAACACACAGAGCAACTGAACAGAAATCTGGCTTGAGTCACTAAATGTATCATAATCAATTTTCAGATTTGAATCCGTATCACAACCCCTTCAAAGGAGGTGAAGCCAGAGCCCCATTACAGTGACATCACAACAAAGGTGTGCTGCCAATCTACAGCCAGGCCTGAACAAAAACAACTGTAGTCATTCACTAGTGTACTGTGTTACAGGAGATGTACTTAGATTTCTTAGAGATGGATGAATACCAACTCTGAATAGAAATTATCTTCTGGAGATCCAAAGTATTCCTATGAACTAGAGGATTATGGCTTTAACAAAGAAATTTAATTACCAGAGTTTTGTCTCAGGCTCATGTTTTCTTATAAGACATATCTGAGGATCTTTGTTCTCTTGAGGTAAATCTCTTATTTCTCTGAGAACCCTTTCACCGTTTTGAGTTGTTTCAACTTGTAGAATCTTGTTTTTAAGTGATGAGTATGTGTATGGATTGAAATGTTTTAATTGATATAAAAGTGATATTCATAAGGCTTATAGTTATACAAGTCAGGTAATGAGCATATTTCTTAAAAATTACTTTATTGTCAGTGTTGATGTTTGGAGGTTTGCCTTCTTAGGGTTTTCTGAACCTCTTGAACTTGAAAGTTCATTTTGTCATTTGAAGTTTTCAGTCAATTTTTTCCTCAATCTTTCATAAGATTTCACAGGCAAAAATCATTGCAGAGTTCATGTCTAGTGTATTGGAAAACAGTACTTGTGGATGTATGAGAAGGGAAATGCAAATGATGTGACTTCTCTCCATGTGGGCAAACTGTAAAATTGTATGATTCTGTGTTTTATTTGCTACCTTCCACCATTTTGATGTATAAAACGTTTAATTTTTACGTTAATTTTTTGGTAGTTTTCTTCTGATGATTTAGATGTATTTTAACTGTTGTCAACTCAGTTCTGAAATATAAAAGTGGAGCTGAAAATAGCAGTGTTGGGAAACTCAAATTCGAGGCTTAGCAATTCATAACATCGGGCAGGAATTATATTTTACTTGTGTGTAACATCCC